ACCCGTCCCGGACCTCTGGCCTCGTCCCAATCCGGGCCCCGACCTCCGGACCCCGCCCCCCCCCCCGGCCCGAGCCTACCTGGAGCGCGGCGTGGGAGGCCCCGCAGCGTGGCCCCCGCCCCCAGACGGGCGTCCCCAGGTCTCTCGGCGCACGGGGCGCGGCGTCCCCAGGGCGAGGCGCGGTTACCGGTCCGCGGGGGCTCAACTTGGACAGGTGCAGGGGCGGACCCCTCCTGGGCCCAGCGTGCAGCCCCAGGGCCAGCCCTTCCCACCCCTCGCGCGGCCCGTGCGCAAAGAGGGTCTGGCCGGCGACGCGACCCTCCGCCCCGCCCCCTCCGAACGCGAATTTTCCGATTGGTCGGGAGACCCAGCGCGGCCCGGCAACTGGCGTCAATTGGACGGGCGCTGGGAGACGCCGGCTTGCCATTGGGCTCCCGGGATGTCCGTCCCGGCCACGACCGGCCCCTCCGTGGAGGGGCCGAGGCCCGGGCACCTGCCGGGACCGCTGCGGCGGCCGCCGGATCCTCGGGGCCGCCCAGTCTCGGCCGCCTTCCAGAATGTCCCCGTGCCGTCCGCCCCGAGCGGGGATTGGCAGACCCCGTGCTCCTTTCTCGGTTTCCAGTCTCGCCGGAACCGTCCCTAGTTCGCTAGGGTCCTTTCTCCGGCCCCTGCTGTTCGCCGGGAGCAGCGCGCCGCGCCCTCCTCTCAATATCTGATGGTATTCTTTACGCAAGCCGCGCGCGAAGAGTTCCACTGACTTCCCATTTTACAGATGGGAAATTGAAGCTCAGAAAGGTTCTCACTTGCTTTAGGTCACCTGGCTCAAATCTAGTCCGTCACACTCTAGGGCCTATGGGTTCTCAGAGCAGAGATACGGGTCTGAACTTGGCTCAGCGAGGCAGGATGGAAGCCGTGTTTCTGAGGCAGAAAGGGCCTTTCGGTGAACCAGAGGTTTTCCTCCACCAGGTCTGAATCTACGGACACTTTGATTCAGCGCACCCTGCAGGACTGCCACAGGAGTGCCCTCCCTAACCTCCTCCATC